AGACCAGTGCAACTCATGTTATTATTTTCGTTACTTTTATCAAGTGATATTTTTGAGCCATCAGTGTAAATATCAATATACTCGATATGATTACAGGACTCTTCGAATTTAGTGATAAGTCCGACAAATAAGTCCGGCTTAGGTGCTGACTAATCGTATACTAACGTGTTATTGTTTACAGTAATGCCTAACATTTTTTAGGCATTGCGGGTTTTGCCTAAAATTGCTTAGGCATTGCGGGCTTTGCCTAAGAAATTTAGGAATTTCCTTAACTTTTTTAGGCACTGCGGTTTTTGCCTAAAATTTTAGGCATTTTTGTTTTTGCCTAGGCAAAAGTCACTTTTGCCTAAAAGCGGGTTTTGCCGGTAACATATTTATATACTAGGGGGGCTGTGCCCCCCTGCTCGCTCCGCTCGCCAACCCCTCCGTTAGGGTGATATACATTTTATTTTTTAATGAGGAAAAGGGTTTGTCTTTAATAATTTTATAGTTTAAGGATTTCTGCTCATAATATTTTTAGTCTTTATTTGCCACAAAAATGGACATTGAACCCAAAATCTACCAAAAAAATAATTTTAAAAGGCCATATTTAGATGTTGGTAATGTGATAGTTTTGTCTTATGTATATGGGTCATATCATAAAAGAGTTAATAGCTCAAAAAATCGAATTTCAACTAACTATGTACTCTTAAAGATTACATTGGAAAATGAAAATCCGAAAAATCTTAGCCCTCTAGCTCCATCCCTCATGGATTTATAGGGGCTCAAAGTTGGATATTCAAATTTTAAATTTAATTCTACTTTTCTGGGGTGATTTTGAAAAAATGGTTGAATCATGTTTTTATGTGTAAAATTTGATGAGGAATTCAAATTTGTACTCAAAAATCATACTTATAGCCTAAAAACCCTTTAAAATGGAAAAATAACATAAAAGACCAAAAATAAAGTTGCTCGTCTTCAGCGATTAGGCCAGAATTGTAATATGTTCATCAAAAGGCCAAAATACAATTTTAGGTAAATTTTGGTAATCGGTTGAGCATTAGAAACAATCCCATGGCATTCCATATAGCCATTTCCATATAGATTTAAAGAGGACAAAATTTCCAAGAAATTAAAAAAAAAGCGTCTCGATACGATAAACCTAGCCCAAGATAGAAGCATTTGAAATTTGACAAAATTTCGACGAATTTTTTTGTTGCGATAATTTTGTTTCCGAGTGTACAAGTGTATGTCAGCTTCATTTTTGTGTCGCACACAAGCATGTCTTATTTTGTTAATGTTGTAGCAAAATAAAAATTGTTAATCGATCTATAGTTATAGCATTCACTAAATAAAACTAATAACATTTATAATTTTTATGAAATTTATTAGTGTCGCTGAAAGCAATGTAAAGCTTGTGCGCTGTAGCGAAATAAAAATTGTTAATCGATCTATAGTTATAGCATTCACTAAATATTTATGGTTATGTGCATTTGTTCAGTGATTTTGAAAAATGTTTTTACTAAATCATCGAATAATCCATCTTTAACAACCCTGCAAATTAGATGTAGGGGAGTTAATCCTTCATTGTTTCGTATGTTAGGATCAACACCCATTTTTATTAATAAGTCAATAATATCATTAATATTATGTTTCACATATATTAATGAAAGATGTAGCAATGTATTGCCATCAGTATCAATATTGTTCATTGGCAAAATGTGTTGTTTGTTTTCAATATTTTGCAAAAAAAAATTTATCAAATCAAAAGCTCTGTAATATTTGCAAATCGTATGTAAAAGCGTTGATCCATTATTGTTAACCGCAGTAAGATCAGCCCCATAATCTAATAACATTTGGCATATGATCGTGTTATTGTATCGCAACGCTAAGTGGAGAGGAGAATCGCCAGTTTCCGGAACAATAAGATTAGGATCTTGACCTAACTCAAGAAAATGTCCAACAGCATAAACAACTCTGTGCTCGCATGCTATATGAAAATGACTTACACCAAGATTATCAATATAATTTTTAGTAAAATCATCATAAATTTCGAAAAGATCTTGGATAACTTCGAAACATTTAAATCTTGCCGCGTAATGGAGCAGTGTTGTACGTTGAAATGGATTATTAGTATTATTTTGACAATTTCCGGCAAGTGACATAAATTCAATAATGATACAGGCCTTACTTCGATCACATTCTTTATGCATATATTTGTACGCGTCCAAAAACATGATTTTACATTCTTCATCCGATAATATATTCAATATGCATATATTTGTACGCGTCCAAAAACATGATTTTACATTCTTCATCCGATAATATATTCAATGGTTCATTGAAATCACCTATCCAATTTTGTACTAAATGAACATATTTCTCCAAGAAATTATAACGTGCATCAGCACAGGCCCACATGACTGCATTTTTTTTGTTCCGCTTCAAATAGGCTAAATCTGTTTGGTTACGAAATATCATCTCTTCTTGAACACCTTACCCATTAGCTTGATTATTATCTTCAAACTGCATTTTTAAAAAAATTACGATAATAAATATTATAGTTTGTAGAAGCAACACAAAAATGTATTATCTAACGATTTCAAAAATAAAACGAAAAATAATGATATAATTATTACTGTTATTACGCGAATATAGCACTAATTGTACATGTGAGAACATATCTACTAATCTTGGAATGTACAATACTGTATGATTTGTTATTGTTCATAATAGTTATTGGCGAACGCAGTTATCTGGTTGTAGCTTTTTTAGGAGGGTGTGTGTTTTTCGTAAAATATAAAGGGTGTGCAGCAGTTAATCAATTTAAAAATGTGCACATAAGGAAATTTTTTGTATTTTTACGTACTAACACTTTTGTTGTCTAACAAATTTTGAATGGAAAATAATTAATACCGATATGTTTAAATAATTCTAATCGATGGAAAAGAGATTAAAAGCAAATGATAAATTGACTATTGAACATATGCAAATATTAACTAAAGTAATGAACGAAAATCCTTATGCGAAATCTTACAGACATTTACATGAAATTTTTGTTAAAGATCATATTCCGAAATATAAATTATATTTTATGCGTAAAAATTGCGAACAAAAACATAATTATAATAAGCCTAAAACATCCGATTGTGGTGCTAATTGATTTGTTAAAGTCGCGTTTTCGTGTATAGATTTGGTCGAGCGGCTGAATTTTTCTTGGTGCTTTTCGAGGTCAATGTTCAAGTACTCATACTTTTTTAATTGATCCTTAATATCGTTTATTTCACCCCTTATTTTGTTAAGCAATGCTAAATTTCCTTTATCTGTTTTGCTTTACAAATTACGATTTAATTCTGTTAATTTTACTAGTAAGTTTTCTGCTTTTATTTCGTCCTCTTTCCTTTTATCGTCACTAATCATTGTGTATCCATCTCTTCATTCACACCCACTCAGAGACAATAGTGTTGTTTGTTTGCAATCGGTAAGTTCAATCGGGTCGTGGCTCGATGCACCAGTTGTAACGACGGGTTTTCTTGCCTGTCGATTACTTAAATAATAATATCAATAATAATATGTGTCGTCTGACTGAAGGCTTGACTCTACTCGCGGTTGTCTCTGGGGGTGAGGTGAGATGAAGAAAGGATAACACAGAATTTCACAAGAGACTGTTTATTGACCAAACTTATATCTAAAATACAGTAGAGTGAGCTTACAAGTTACTGGGTTATCTTCGGCGGCGTCGTTCGTTGAGCGGCGAGTGAGTGGGAGGGCGGCCCCGTGTCGGTGCGGTCTCGGCTAGTCGGCGAGGGTGATCTCGGCTGGTCGGTGAGGGTGATCTCGGTGTCGATGAGACCGGTACGGCGTCGGCGTGTTGGGCGGCGTCGGTGGTTGCTTCTGGACGGGCTCGCGTACTTTTCGAATAACTAACTCGCACTGATTTTATCTGGTCGGAGCCGAGCGCCAGGCTAGTTTTCAAGTCAACTGCGAACTTGGAGTCGAGAAGTAAAGATGTACGTGAATACCGAACCGACGAGCGTCGATGTGTACGCCTCGAACCGAAAACTGTGAGTGAGCCCCGACGAGCGTCGATGTGTACGCCTTGAACTGAAAACTGTGAGTGAGCCCCGAGACTCTCTGAGTCTCGGTTTATATACTGTTTGTTGCTGCCGTATCCCTCTTTGTTTGGGCGAGGGTCGCCGTAAACTTTATGTGTCCTCTAGAGCTTGCGGGCTGCGCGTTTTTCCCATCCGTCGTTTCTGGGAATCTTAGCGAATGCTCGAGCCGTTCCCTTAGTTGCTTTGCCCGTTTACCCGAGCGCAAGTTGTGACCTGATTTTTGCCAACATCCGATTTTCTGCAAATTGCCCGAGCCGGTTACCCTATCGCATACCCGGTAACGGAGGCATCATAAATTTCGACTGGTGGCTTGCAAGCGCGAGTCATGCTTCACACACGCGCGCGCTGCTCCATGCGTGTGCGCACTCACACCAGTGCGTACCGCGGCGTGCGTGAGTGGGCGCACACTAACGCTGGCTGCTCTATCCGTGTGCGCACTCACACCAGTACGCGCTGCGGTGTACGTGTGCAGTCGCACACTAATGTTCACGGCTCTGTCCGTGTGCGTACTCACACCAGTGCGCGCTGCGGTGTACGTGTGCAGTCGCACACTAACGTTCACGGCTCTGTCTACGGAAGCCTGTAGGTATCACGAGACTCCGCATGTGCGAGTGGTGGCGTTGATGACTGCGGCGCTCGCTCGCAGGGTGCGGGCGGAATCTCTACATTATTTTTTCTATGGTCTTTTCACGTGAACATCGACAGACTAAGGTTTTTTCCTGCTCTTTGAGATTAAAAAATAAGGTTAAAAAAATGGATATAACAAGAGAGATCGAAATCAAAGAAGGCGAGTCGTCTCGCTTCTTTGAAGTGTCAAATGATAAAATATCATTGACCACATTAAAAGTTTATTACCCGAAAATCAGTGGACTCACATATATAAAAGATAACAAATTTTACTGCGTGATGGTAGAAGGAGGTTACCTCCACTGTTTGCCTCATATTAGTTCTTACAACGTTTTCATAAAAACAGGTAAGAACTTAATCTTTTTTTTCAATCAACATCTTTTGTAATTGTACTGTAGGCTAATTTGTCAAATTTCATTTTGTTCATAGAGGATATTCATCCGCGCGAAACTTTATCAGAGGCCCAGAAGGAGAAATTTAATTCTGTGATGAAATGCATCCATGGCCAAGAAACTCCGGAACAGCTAAAAGAAGTTAGTATATATATATTACTTGATCTTGAAGTACTCGATTGTACAAGATGATTATAATTTTATTCTTTTTTTAACCTGTTACAGCGGAAAAAAATTGGCAACCGAAAACAAGATCAGAAACAAGATCAGATCAAACAAGATCAAATGCAAGATGAACACGGTGCACAAGATAAAACAGTCAAAAAAATCCCTGTTATGTGGTATCATAAAGATGCATCAGGTGCAAATTTTTACAAGATGCCGTCTGGAGGAAGTAAAGAAATAATACTGGATGTTAAAACACACTACACTGTAGACAAAATTACTGAAAAATGCATCGAAGCTTTCAAGAATGAATTAAATCATAACTATTTTGAAAAAAGTTTCATCGAAATAGGAAGAAAAAACCATGATGTCATTATAGATTTTGGTAACGATGGGCTTATTTCAAATCAGCCTTCTCAAAAGCTCATCGTGCAATCACTTTATATTTGTATACAACTGCACATAATCCTAAAATATTATCAGATTTAAAGCCAATTGCAGACAAGAACATAATGGTGGTAAGTGATATGAATAAATGCAAGAAAGATCAGAATTCAAAAGAAAATAGTTCTCCATCGATAAGCTTGGATCAAATGCCCTCCTGCAATTCAATTTTCAAAACACCAGTGATCTCTAGAATTAAAAGTTCTCCATTGAAAAAGAAAGTCAGTGTGGAGTTTTCTGAACAGTTAAATGTTCCTACAAAGAAATCAAAAATATCTCACATAAATGATGTCAGAAATGTGAAAATAGACGTTGCCATTGAGGTACCCATGAGTGACTTTACTTTCCCAGATGTGGTATTGGGAAGAGGTGCTTTTGGAGAAGTTCGTAAGGGAGATTGGAATTTCACTGAAGTTGCTATTAAAACCATAGACTTATTACAAGAAGATCCTAAAGATATCATAAAAGAAGTGGCTATACTGCGACAAGTTGTACATAAAAACATTGTCTCCATTATGGGATACGCTATGAGTAACAATGATTTCTATATCATCATGGAGCTTGTTGATGGTTACACCCTAATGGAATTAATATTTAAAGATCGAATCAAATGTATATTTCCACTTGACACTTCAGACAAGATCCAGATAACATTTCAAATATTACTTGGACTTGCATTCCTTCATGGCTTTCCAAAGAAGATTGTGCACCGAGACATAAAACCAGCTAATATACTTCTGACCAAAGAAAAAGGTGTTAAAATATGTGATCTAGGAGTATCCAAAATCAACGAGCTCTACACACAATTAATGACCACTCATGGTCGAGTAAATTGTGCTGGTACGCCAATGTACATGGCTCCTGAAATTTATATCAACCGCCAGCAAGCAACAGAGTACTCAGATATGTGGTCATTTGCTTGCACTATTGTCGAGTTATTTAATGAAAAGCATGTCTGGCGCATAGCAAACTCACAAAAAAATCTGGTAAAGCTGTTGAAAGAAAAACGTACACCAGAATGTGATAACTTACCTGATATTATAAAAGCACAGGTGAAAAAGTGATTTGACTACAACTACAGTTCCAGACCAGTAGCCAAAGAAATTATAATTGTCATGAAGAAAATGTTTGAAACGTCCAAAGATAATGGTAATTGAATATAGCCGCACACGTGGGGTCATATTGCTGCTGAGGGCCGAGGAAGAAAAATGTTTGCAAAATTGTGCATACTGCCAAAATATATGTAAAAACGAATATACTCGCATGCTAACACTGAGACATAATCAAAAATATTGCAGTATTTGTGTTCAATACACGGCTAGTGTATTTTATGTAAGATATATATAGAAGAATGTACAATTTATATATCTACATTATATATTAAAATGCATTATTATATTATATATGTATTATATACTGCACGTGCAACTTGCACCTTTGTTTAAGTATTTTAAATTAATATAGTACATAATCGATACGATTATACTGGATTAAAAAATTATATTACGTAGATTTTAAGTAGACATGAGAAAAATCCGTTTCAATTTTGAACGCGTGCCAGTAACGTTACACTTTTTGTTAAAATTGCTGTTACAGCTGATATTTTGAGTTTAGACTATGCATCTCAATCATATTTTCAAGAAAATTATAAAAAACTATGTTTTATGCATTAAGTACAGATAAATTTTAGATTCCTTTGTTACTATGTTCATATTTGTAGTCGTTTCACTTAATGAGTGTTTAAAAAAATCAAAGTTGACGTATCTCTATAACTTTAACTAGTTGACGCGATATAGTCGAATAACTATTCACTGTTGCTTTACCAATGTATTTTTCATTTGTATTCTTTTATACGTATAGTGTGTACAACTAATTAGAATTTTCATAAATAAAATATATTTGGTCAAAGCTTATTTATTGCGCTATTTTATTACTGCAAATGAAACAAGAATACTAGATTTTTATATCTATAAATAATATGAGATTTTGGTGATGGAATTTACAGAGTTTGGGTAAATAATAAGAGCTGTAATTTAAGCTTTTGTATTCATAAACAAAATATATTGATATATATAGTAGAATTGTATTAAATAATTACACACATCACATTTTTAATTGATGTGAAACGCGTTAATATATATTTCATACAAATAGAAGCAATGTTATTTTACAATGATTCAGTCTCAACTTTTCATTTTTAGTACTTAACAGGATTAGCTATTAATCATCATTTCTTTTAAACATTTCAATTTTTTTAACTAGCTCCTTATAATTGACATAAGAGTCTTCTAAGTTAATTGTTGGCTTCAGTCCTGGTTGAACCATTTCAATTATCAGCTCAATTTCTGGGCTGCAAAATTTTGGTTGAACGGTGAACTCTTTGATTAATTTCTTGATTTGTTCTTCGTCAGCGTGTTTAATGAATTTCTTTCCATGAAAATTTTCAGGCCAATAATAGATGACGTCTGGAATACCACAAGGAGATTTACAATTGTTTTGCTGTCTCACTCTGTGATTATTCCACTCTTTCATGGCCCTATCCAAGTCACATTGGATTAAATATCCAAAACAAAAACGAAGGCACTCTATGTGAATATTATTTGACGTATCAATTTCACCCAGTGCTTGCATTTTTTTAAAAAATCTTATATAAAATTCCGTCATGTGGTTGCGTAGTTACTTCCAGTATTTTTCGATTCTTTCATTTGCTGTACTTTTGCCTTTTAAAAAACTTTCGTACCCTGCTCTGCTGTCCTGGTCATGAAAACGTAGTGCTATCTGCATCAGCTCTATTAAAGTATTCTCTGTGCCCTTGTCGCTTCGAACAACACTTGGTACACACTTATGATTGAGTAATGAGTGCAGGTAGTAATAAGCAATAACTTCTGGATTGTTATTGGTTGAGGCCACATTCAACCAGATAACTTTTCGAGAGTATCCGTCAACGCAACCACTTATAGCAAAGCCAAATTTCTTCAATTTGTCATGGCCATCAACGTGCCATAAGTGGTTGGGTCCAGCAACACAATACTGCCTTCGTTTTAGCCTATATTTGGAACGTGCTTCTATTCCTTCTGGATCAATGATTCTTAGCAATTTTAAAACTGTGTCTCTTTTAACTGTGAACTGGTATTCGCTTTTTAATCTCAACCATACAGATCTATACCCCAAATTGAAGCCAGAAGTTCCTTGGATCTCGATCATAGCTTTTACAAGCAATTCCACTGGAGTCTCAACACAGTTTTTTCTTCTTAAGCCAAGATTTTTCAATGTCCTTTTTAGAGTAATTACTGAGATATGATAATTATGATTCACAGCCAGTAAATGGCATATCTCTTTGTAGGAGTATAACAGTTGAAAATATTTCACAATAACACTTTGTATGTTTACATTTTCATTTGTGGAGTCAGCATAAAATACTGTGTACTCCGTTATACTGGCTTTTAAAACAAACTTATTGTTTATGATGGGTACTATAATACACTTTTCTTTATCAATATATGTGAGTCCACTGATTTTCGGGTAATACACTTCTAATGTGGACAATGATATTTTATCATTTGACACTTCAAAGAAACGAGACGACTCGCCTTCTTTGATTTCGATTTCTCTTGTTATATCCATTTTTTTACCTTTAAAGAGCAAGAAAAAACCTTACTCTGTCGATGTTCACGTGTAAAAACCATAGAAAAAATAATATAGAGATTCCGCCCGCACGCTGCTAGCGAGCGCCGCAGTCATCAAAGCCACCACTCGCACATGCGGAGTCGCGTGATACCTACAGGCTTCCGTATCTGTCCGTGTGCGTACTCACACCAGTGCGCGCCGCGGTGTACGTGTGCGGCCGTACACCAGCATGCCCGTTCGGGACTTGGTGTTGCACCGGGCTGATTTGCCGCCCCGGTGTTTTACCTACTCGTGGCCGTAAGGATGCTATGACCCTTGTGACTGGGTCATTACACTATCTGGGTACACGGTATTTGATGATACGCTTGAGACAGATCGATTTTCGATAAGTATACCGCGTTTCTCAAGTTATCCAGTATCGAGTCCATGTGGTGCATGGGGTATGCATCTTTTCTCGTAATTTGATTAATTTTTCTAAAGTCTATACAAAACCGTATTTTACCGTTACTTTTCGGTACTATGACCGGACAGCTGCACCAGGGGCTATCGCTTTCTTCAATGATATCTTCTCGAATTAACCTGTCGACCTCCTCATGTGCTGCTTTAAGTAGCTTTTGTGCTATGCGTCTCGAATGTTTTCGTATTGGAGGATGTCCTTGTACGTCTATCATATGCGGTGTGATTTTCGCTGCTTTACATGTGTCGCTCGCTGGTGGTATCAATTTTTCGACAAGTTCTGACATTATTTCTTTTTCGGCTTCGTCCGGTGATTTTAATCCGCCGATTGCACCAACAGCTTGTATTACGAGTTTTGATTTATCTAATTTCGAATTAAACGGGTGTTTGATTCCAGCAGGTGTCCACCATTTCAATGTGTCGAAGCACGTCGTTATTTTTAAAGCCATGAGTAGATCGATGCCCATCACTATCTCATATTTGAGTGATTTCATTACTCCGAACGTCCAATCTATTTCCGAGTTCTCGATACTAATTGTCATGGTTAGCTTACCGTCGTCTGGCGTAATTTCACCTCTCGGTCCCTCCATGTAACACGATGATTTTTTGATTTTCGATTGTAGTAGTTTCGCTGGTTGTACACCGATCCAGCTAGAAACTGCTCCGGGGTCTAGTAACATATTGAATTTCTCTCCGCATAGTTTTACCTTTGCGTAAATGCGAGGGTCTCCTTTTCTTATTGGAAGTGCTGGTAGTATTTCCATTTCATTCGTCTTTTCCGATTTCGATTTACGAGTATTTCTATTTTGTTTTCGATGTTTGTCGAGTTCTTTATTTTTCGAACTATTTTTAGATGCTACTTGATTATCTATTTGTTTCGGTTGGATGAACTTATTTTTATTGGTGCTACTGTTATTGTTCGAGCTATGTTTATCAACTTTATCGGTTTTGATTTCATAGTGTGTTTTTGCTTCATTGTCTGTATAATCTGATTGGTAATTTAGGACCCATTTCGATTTACCTTCCGGGGTTGACTCGGTCCTTTTTATTTTTCCCCTCTTAGGTTTTCCGTCTTTCGATTTTTTACGAACTCTTTACAACTTTCTGTCGGGCAATTGTAAATACGAAAGCCTTTTGTTCGGCAGCGATAACAAACATCGCCGTCTTTGTTCGGACAAAACATCGCCCAATGATTGGATGCGTCGCCAATCCAGCAGTGGTCATTTCTCGTCGGCTTATTTCTTTCGTACGCCGGTGCTGCTGATTGCTGTGCTGGCTTCTGTTGTCGATTTTCCTTGCTCATCGTGTTGCCATTTTCTTTTATATTGTTATTTTTATACGATCTCGAGGCTTGGTTTTTATTATAATTTTTATTCGAAGGTTTATTGTGTTTCTACGGGCTTTTATTCTCGATCGCCGCTATCTCGTTCTTTTTCGTACTGTTATTGCTATTATTTTACTTACTCGCTTTCGGGACTAACGATCTTTCTGTCGGAGGTAGTTTATAATTTTGTTCTTTATCGATTAGTGATTCTTCTTCTTGGTCTACAAGTAGCAGTTCCTTGAAGTTATTGAATTGATTTCTTTTGATATTTTTCAAATATTTCGGGTGTAGATTCTCGTATGTTCAATCGAGTTGTTTTTTCTCACTCCATTGGGGCGATATTTTATTCATCAATAGTCTTATTTTTGCAATAAATGTTGCTAATTTCTCGTGCGGTCCTTGAGTTCTATTACGTATTTCGTCTTCCAATCTCATCTGGAAATTCGGTATACCGTATTGTAATCTAAGATCTTCAATGAATTTTTCGAATGTGTCCCATTGTGTATATAATGGTTCAGCCCATATCTCCGCGTCGCCTGTCAACGTCGACGGCATGAAACGTAGCAGGTCCTTATCTGCAATGTTTGTAAGGTATTGTACAGTTTTTAATTTTGCGATAAAACTTTCCGCATCATCCTTATCATTTCTTCCGAATTT